GCTGGCTCCAGGGAGATGGACCTTGGACCGTTTCTCGATGCCGGCTCCAGGGAGATGGACCATGGACCATTTCTCGATGCTGGCTCCAGGGAGATGGACCTTGGACCGTTTCTTGATGCTGGCTCCAGGGAGATGGACCTTGGACCGTTTCTCGATGCTGGCTCCAGGGAGATGGACCTTGGACCGTTTCTCGATGCCGGCTCCAGGGAGATGGACCTTGGACTGTTTCTCGATGCCGGCTCCAGGGAGATGGATCTTGGACCGTTTCTCGATGCCGGCTCCAGGGAGATGGACCTTGGACCGTTTCTCGATGCCGGCTCCAGGGAGATGGACCTTGGACCGTTTCTCGATGCTGGCTCCAGGGAGATGGACCATTTCTCGATGCCGGCCCAGGGAGATGGACCTTGGACTGTTTCTTGATGCTGGCTCCAGGGAGATGGACCTTGGACCGTTTCTCGATGCTGGCTCCAGGGAGATGGACCTTGGACCGTTTCTCGATGCCGGCTCCAGGGAGATGGACCATGGACCATTTCTCGATGCTGGCTCCAGGGAGATGGACCTTGGACCGTTTCTCTTGATGCTGGCTCCAGGGAGATGGACCTTGGACCGTTTCTCGATGCTGGCTCCAGGGAGATGGACCTTGGACCGTTTCTCGATGCCGGCTCCAGGGAGATGGACCTTGGACTGTTTCTCGATGCCGGCTCCAGGGAGATGGATCTTGGACCGTTTCTCGATGCCGGCTCCAGGGAGATGGACCTTGGACCGTTTCTCCATGCCGGCTCCAGGGAGATGGACCTTGGACCGTTTCTCGATGCCGGCTCCAGGGAGATGGACCTTGGACCGTTTCTCGATGCCGGCTCCAGGGAGATGGACCTTGGACCGTTTCTCGATGCCGGCTCCAGGGAGATGGACCTTGGACCGTTTCTCGATGCCGGCTCCAGGGAGATGGACTTTGGACCGTTTCTCGATGCCGGCTCCAGGGAGATGGACCTTGGACCGTGGACCGTTTCTCGATGCCGGCTCCAGGGAGATGGACCTTGGACCGTTTCTCGATGCTGGCTCCAGGGAGATGGACCATTTCTCGATGCCGGCTCCAGGGAAATGGACCTTGGACCGTTTCTCGATGCTGGCTCTCCAGGGAGATGGACCATTTCTCGATGCCGGCTCCAGGGAGATGGACCTTGGACTGTTTCTTGATGCTGGCTCCAGGGAGATGGACCTTGGACCGTTTCTCGATGCCGGCTCCAGGGAGATGGACCTTGGACCGTTTCTCGATGCCGGCTCTAGGGAGATGGACCTTGGACCGTTTCTCGATGCCGGCTCCAGGGAGATGGACCTTGGACCGTTTCTCGATGCCGGCTCTAGGGAGATGGACCTTGGACCGTTTCTCGATGCCGGCTCCAGGGAGATGGACCTTGGACCATTTCTCGATGCCGGCTCCAGGGAGATGGACCTTGGACCGTTTCTCGATGCTGGCTCCAGGGAGATGGACCATTTCTCGATGCCGGCTCAGGGAGATGGACCTTGGACTGTTTCTTGATGCTGGCTCCAGGGAGATGGACCTTGGACCATTTCTCGATGCTGGCTCCAGGGAGATGGACCTTGGACCGTTTCTTGATGCCGGCTCCAGGGAGATGGACCATGGACCATTTCTCGATGCTGGCTCCAGGGAGATGGACCTTGGACCGTTTCTTGATGCTGGCTCCAGGGAGATGGACCTTGGACCGTTTCTCGATGCTGGCTCCAGGGAGATGGACCTTGGACCGTTTCTCGATGCCGGCTCCAGGGAGATGGACCTTGGACTGTTTCTCGATGCCGGCTCCAGGGAGATGGATCTTGGACCGTTTTTCGATGCCGGCTCCAGGGAGATGGACCTTGGACCGTTTCTCCATGCCGCCTCCAGGGAGATGGATCTTGGATCGTTTCTCGATGCTGGCTCCAGGGAGATGGACCTTGGACCGTTTCTCGATGCCGGCTCCAGGGAGATGACCTTGGACCTTGGACCGTTTCTCGATGCCGGCTCCAGGGAGATGGACCTTGGACCATTTCTCAATGCCGGCTCCAGGGAGAAGGACCTTGGACCATTTCTCGATGCTGGCTCCAGGGAGATGGACCATTTCTCGATGCCAGCTCCAGGGAGATGGACCTTGGACTGTTTCTTGATGCTGGCTCCAGGGAGATGGACCTTGGACCGTTTCTCGATGCCGGCTCCAGGGAGATGGACCTTGGACTGTTTCTCGATGCCGGCTCCAGGGAGATGGATTTGGACCGTTCTCGATGCCGGCTCCAGGGAGATGGACCTTGGACCGTTTCTCGATGCCGGCTCCAGGGAGATGGACCTTGGACCGTTTCTCGATGCCGGCTCCAGGGAGATGGACCTTGGACCGTTTCTCGATGCCGGCTCCAGGGAGATGGACCTTGGACCATTTCTCGATGCCGGCTCCAGGGAGATGGACCTTGGACCGTTTCTCGATGCTGGCTCCAGGGAGATGGACCATTTCTCGATGCCGGCTCCAGGGAGATGGACCTTGGACTGTTTCTTGATGCTGGCTCCAGGGAGATGGACCTTGGACCGTTTCTCGATGCCGGCTCCAGGGAGATGGACCTTGGACCGTTTCTCGATGCCGGCTCCAGGGAGATGGACGTTGGACCGTTTCTCGATGCCAGCTCCAGGAAGATGGACCTTGGACCGTTTCTCGATGCCGGCTCCAGGGAGATGGACCTTGGACCATTTTCTCGATGCGGCTCCAGGGAGATGGACCTTGGACCGTTTCTCGATGCCGGCTCCAGGGAGATGGACCTTGGACCATTTCTCGATGCCGGCTCCAGGGAGATGGACCTTGGACCGTTTCTCGATGCTGGCTCCAGGGAGATAGACCTTGGACCGTTTTCTCGATGCCAGCTCCAGAGGGATGGACCTTGGACCATTTCTCGATGCCGGCTCCAGGGAGATGGACCTTGGACTGCTTCTCGATGCCGGCTCCAGGGAGATGGACCTTAGACCGTTTCGTGATGCCGGCTCCAGGGAGATGGACCTTGGACCGTTTTTCGATGCTGGCTCCAGGGAGATGGACCTTGGACCATTTCTCGATGCTGGCTCCAGGGAGATTGACCTTGGACCGTTTCTCGATGCTGGCTCCAGGGAGATGGACCGTTTCTCGATGCCGGCTCCAGGGAGATGGACCTTGGACTGTTTCTCGATGCCGGCTCCAGAGAGATGAACCTTGGACCGTTTCTCGATGCCGGCTCCAGGGAGATGGACCTTGGACCATTTCTCGATGCCGGCTCCAGGGAGATGGACCTTGGACCGTTTCTCGATGCTGGCTCCAGGGAGATGGACCTTGGACCGTTTCTCGATGCCGGCTCCAGGGAGATGGACCTTAGACCCGTTTCTCGATGCCGGCTCCAGGGAGATGGACCTTGGACCGTTTCTCGATGCCGGCTCCAGGGAGATGGACCTTGGACCGTTTCTCGATGCCGGCTCCAGGGAGATGGACCTTGGACCGTTTCTCGATGCCGGCTCCAGGGAGATGGACCTTGGACCGTTTATATCAATGCTGGCTCCAGGGAGATGGACCTTGGACTGTTTTCTCGAGGCCGGCTCCAGGGAGATGGACCTTGGACCATTTCTCGATGCCGGCTCCAGGGAGATGGACCTTGGACCGTTTATCAATGCCGGCTCCAGGGAGATGGACCTTGGACTGTTTCTCGATGCCGGCTCCAGGGATGATGGACCTTGGACCGTTTCTCGATGCCGGCTCCAGGGAGATGGACCTTGGACCGATGACCTGCCGTGTTTATGGAAAGGTCTTTCATGTGTTGGGTGAGGTCCTCCAACCTCCATCCCGTGGCACGGCCTCCGGGCCGCTCTTCTGTCTACATACTTGTAGATGCTCCTTTTGGCAGATTGCAGCCAGAGTGGAAAACACTTGGAAGGCTCCAGCTGGAGCTGGACGGTGTAATTGCTCCTTCGCAGACCAAGTGTTCGGCACATGGAGGATTGCCTTTGAAGCAGACATCGCTGTGATAACATACAGTGGAATCTTATTTGTGGACGGCACACCTCAGCCCATTGGTATGCCGCGCTCCGCGCTTTGAACAGCGGCGGCCTGGCTGGGTCGTTGGCTGTTTGCAACCTGCTCCTTCCAACCGCCTTCCAATTTCCCACCCAAAATCCTGGGAATCTTGTAAGTGGAATAAAGAACACATGTCACAGCTGGCAGCAAGAAAGGCGTTATTAGCCGGTCTAGGGAACAAGTATTCGCGCCGGGGGTGTCAGAATATTCTCGGGCCGCGGTACCTGCTGGGATTCGCAAGACGATGTTTGGCTTTAGTTAAAGCGGACCTCTGAGGATAGGAACCGATCCCGGACTGGACCCAAGTTACAGCAGCAGAATCATTCTCCAGGACAGCTCCGCCTTTAGGGCTCATTCACATCAGGAACAGAAATTAGTGCAGATCAGTGTGGTAGCGATGTAGTAGTGGCATAATAGCAGTGACCCTGATCTTATGTGGTGCAGTAGTGGTGTGGTATAATAGTAGTGTAGCAGCTGTATATTAGTGGTGTAGTAGTAATGTAGTAGCAGTATAGAAGCTGTGTAGTAGTGGTATAGTAGCAGTGTAGTAGCGGTGTAGTAGTTGTATAGTAGCAATGTAGTAGTGGTGCAGTGGTGGTGTAGTAGCGGTGTAGTAGTGTGGTATAGTAGCATTGTAGCAGCAATGTAGTAGCAGTGTAGTAGTGGTATAGTAGCAATGTAGTAGTGGTGGTATAGTAACAGTGTGTAGTAGCTGTGTAGTAGTGGTATAGTAGCAGTGTAGTAGTGGTGTAGTAGTTGTATAGTAGCAATGTAGTAGTGGTGTGCAGTGGTGGTGTAGTAGCGGTGTAGTAGCGGTGTAGTAGTTGTATAGTAGCAATGTAGTAGAGGTGTAGAAGTGGTATAGTAGCAATGTAGTAATGGTGGTATAGTAGCAGTGTAGTAGTGGTACTCTGGGGGACACTGATGTAAGGGGGCACTCTGATGGGGACACCTAATGTAAGAAGGCACTCTGATGGGGACACCTGATGTAAGGAGGCACTCTGATGGGGACACCTGATGTAAGGAGGCACTCTGATGGGGACACCTGATGAAAGGGGGCACTCTGATGGGGACACCTGATGTAAGGAACAAACAAGAGATCCCTGTGCTCAAATCCATACAGCTAGTGCATGCATTTATCCATCAGGTGCTAAAGGGGTGTAACCACATTAACTCTAGAAATTCTGAAGGACCCTCTGCACACTGGTATATACCCTTTCAAGCAAACTATGCAACAAATAGGGATATTTGGTTCACACATATTGCAATACATGTTTAAATGCATGCACTAGCTGTATGGATTTGAGCACAGGGATCTCTTGTTTGTTGTATTGTTGGGTCAGTAGCCAGACCTGAACCTTGTAGCTCTCCCCATTGTGTCTTTTCCCCTATGCTAGCATTGTGTCCGCAGTAGCACTTGCGTTGGCAGGACAGAGTAGGACTGGCCATAGAGGGATTACTTTGACGCAGTTGGCCAGCTTAAACATGTATTGCAATATGTGTGAACCAAATATCCCTATTTGTTGCATAGTTTGCTTGAAAGGGTATATACCAGTGTGCAGAGGGTCCTTCAGAATTACCTGATGTAAGGAAACACTCTGATGGGGACACCTGATGTAAGGGGGCACTCTGATGGGGACACCTGATGTAAGGGGGCACTCTGATGGGGACACCTGATGTAAGGGGGCACTCTGATGGGGACACTGATGTAAGGGTGCACTCTGATGGGGACCCTGATGTAAGGAGGCACTCTGATGGGGACACTGATGTAAGGGGGCACTCTAATGGGGACACTGATGTAAGGGTGCACTCTGATGGGGACCCTGATGTAAGGGGGCACTCTGATGGGGACACCTGATGTAAAGTGGCACTCTGATGGGGACACCTGATGTAAGGGGGCACTCTGATGGGGACACCTGATGTAAAGAGGCACTCTGATGGGGACACCTGATGTAAGGGGGCACTCTGATGGGGACACCTGATGTAAGGAAACACTCTGATGGGGACACCTGATGTAAGGGGGCACTCTGATGGGGACACTGATGTAAGGAGGCACTCTGATGGGGACACTGATGTAAGGAGGCACTCCGATGGGGACACTTGATGTAAGGAAGCTCTCAAATGGGGATACTGAACTAAGGGAGCACTCAGATGGGGACAACTGGTGTAAGGGGGCACTAAGATGGGGATACCTAAAGTAAGGGAGCACTCTGATGGGGACACCAGATGTAAGGGGGCACTCTGATGGGGACACTGATGTAAGGGGGCACTCTGATGGGGACCCTGATGTAAGGGGGCACTCTGATGGGGACACTGATGTAAGGGGGCACTCTGATGGGGACCCTGATTTAAGGGGGCACTCTGATGGGGACACCTAAAGTAAGGGAGCACTCTGATGGGGACACTGATGTAAGGGGGCACTCTGATGGGGACACTGATGTAAGGGGGCACTCTGATGGGGACACTGATGTAAGGAGGCACTCTGATGGGGACACCAGATGTAAGGGGGCACTCTGATGGGGACACTGATGTAAGGGGGCACTCTGATGGGGACCCTGATTTAAGGGGGCACTCTGATGGGGACACCTGATGTAAAGGGGCACTCTGATGGGGACACTGATGTAAGGGGGCACTCTGATGGGGACCCTGATGTAAGGGGGCACTCTGATGGGGACACTGATGTAAGGAGGTGCTCAGATGGTTGCTTTTCACCTCTTCTCAGTCTATTGATTTTTGCAGGTTCACCAGCGAGAGACGACTGTTCTAATCCATTAGGGGGCTCATTCACATCAGACCCGCCCACGCAGTCCCAATCAGCCCGATGTCCTATTGTTTCAATTGCACTGAACAAAAGGAGGGCGGGTCGCATGTTTTCTGCAGCGCATTGCGGCGTGATATAACACATCGCAATGCATTTCGGCAGATACAGTTAAATGAGTGTCAAAATAAATCATCTTAAAAAAAAAAAGAACCCCCATCAGCCGCACACTATGCGCACCTTTGCGCCCCGCCCGCTGGTGTGATTGAGCCCGAGGAGAGTCATTTGTTTTTACCCGGGAGTAGCAGGGAAAGTCTGATCCTAATTGAATGCAGATCCTCTGAGCATCGCTCATGACATTTCCATTATGCGCTGCGCTGTGTGTGGCGTTCAGGTGTCGAACGCTCGGCTCCACAACACATGTTTGTGATCGGCAGCAAAATATTTTTACAAGGTTAAGTTAACATTTCTTCAACCTATGGAAATCTTCCTGCGTTTATTCCTCTCGCCGCAGGCATTTGTTTGTGAGGCTTCGAAAAATACACAACGCATGCCGTCATTATTCCCTGTCTGCTCGCAGCGCGTCATTTACCATTCAGGATCCGGGGACGTGCGCTGTCATTCCTGCGAGCAAAGATGCTACGCCGGGATTGTCCCGCTTAATGTAGGGCTCATTTACAGCTCTGCGCATGTGTAGAGGGGCGCTGTTTGCACTGTTAGGCGGAGGTGCACTGACATGCGTTTCGATCAGGGGTGGACTGACAACTCATGGGGCCCCCGGGCAATAGGGGATCATGGGGCCCCTGTGTCCTTGCCCAAACTCAAAAAAGCCTATGAAAAAGGTACCAGGGGCATCTCATGGGGCCCCCTACTGACCCCGGGCCCTCGGGCAGCGCCCCCGAGTTTCCAAATGGTCAGTCCGCCCCTGGTTTCGATATGCGTTCTTAAATTTAGATAAGTGATAACCGTTTAGGACCAAATGACATCACCAATCTTATCTCCAAATATCACCCAAACTGTCCTCTCTGCTCCTCCCACGACCTCCTGCTCTCTAGCTCCCTTGTCTCCTCCTCCCATGCTCGTCTCCAGGACTTCTCCAGAGCCTACCCCATCCTCTGGAACTCTCTACCCCAATCTATCAGACTATCGCCTACTCTGCCCACTCTGAAAACCTATCTCTTCAGGGCAGTGGCCTCCTGAGGCAGGTGCAGGGAGGAAGGGGGAGGTGCCGGGTGACACCTACCGCACAGGGTGACACCGTACCCGCTCCACCAAAAGGTAAGTTGTAAAGCATGCCAACAATTCCCGCAGGATGGATCGGATCTGTGGATTGGTGAGCATAATGGATCGGACTCCGATCCATTATGCTCAATCCGCAGATCCGATCCATCCTGTGGGGATTGTCAGCATGCCACCTATACGGGGTGACACCGGACACGCTCCACGAAAAGGTAACTTGTAAAGAAAGCCGATGATCCCCGCAGGATGGATCGGATGTGAGGATTGGGGAGCATAATGGATCGGAGTCCAATCCATTATGCTCAATCTGCAGATCCGATCCATCCTGCGGGGATCATCGGAGGGGGTGTCACCGAGTGTTATCGCACCGGGTGACACCAACCCTAGGGACACCCCTGCTTCAGGGAAGCCTATCCTGCTTTCAGCTAATAATGGAATCTTCTACTCCTCCTACCAGCCCATCCCCCACAGTTATTACCTTTTGTAGCACCAGCCCCTCCCTCTTAGATTGTAAGCTCCCAGGATCAGGACCCTCCTAACCCTCTTGTATTGATCTCTATTGAACTGTATTGTCTCCCATTATATTGTAAAGCGCTGAGCAAACCCACATGGAAGAAAAATATATTTGAAATGCTACAATTGTGGCCGTATTCAATATATTTCAAAATATATTTCAATAAATATATATATATACGGCATGTTGAAATGCGTTTTTTTTTTTTATGAAATATATGAAAAATATTTTTAAAAATACATTTTCAATTATACTGTATGTCTTTAAAAATACAAATCTACATTTTTGGAATGCATTTACAAATATATGTAAAAATATGTTGAAATGACTTTTTATATGTAAAAAAAAAAATCTGAAGAATATATTTTGAAAAAATGTATTTTTAAAACTATATTTTTTTTTAAATATATTCTTCAGATTTTTTTTTAACATATATTTTTACAGTAAGCTGACTGAGAGGAGCTGTCTGCCAAAGATCTGTCTGGTGTCACTGGAGGGTTTCCATTGGAAGGAGGCAACCATCGCTGGTGAGAGGACCAGGGGCATATTTGCCGCGAGGCAAACAAGGCATTTGCCTCGTGCGGAATTTTTTAGGGGGGGGGGGGGGGGGGGGGGGCGGCGCCGCCACCTCCCAGAAGACAGGCCTCTGGTTCTCCTTATCACTGGGGCTGAGCAGCAGAGCAGAGTGAAGAGAGCACCCCCCCCCCCCCCAAGAAGAACAGCCGCTGGTTCTCCTGGGCAGCAGAATGGAGTTAAGGGAGTGCCGCCTCCTGGAAGAATGGCTGCTGGTTCTCCTGGGCGGGAGAGTGGAGTGATGGAAGAGCCACCCCCTGGAAGAACGGCCGCTGGTTCTTCTGGGCAGCAGAGTGGAATGAAGTATGTAACTATATAACTCTGCAACTATGTAACTATATAGAAATGTAACTATATAACTATGTAACTATGTAACTATATAACTATGTAACTATGTAACTATGTACTGTAAATAACTGTGCAATATAATATATAACTGTATAACTATGTAACTCTGCAACTATAGATCTATGTAACTATGTAACTATGTAACTATATAACTATGTAACTATGTAACTATGTAACTATATAACTATGTAACTATGTAACTATGTAACTATATATCTATATAACTATGTAACTATGTAACTATATAACTATGTAACTATGTAACTATATAACTATGTAACTATATATCTATGTAACTATGTAACTATATATCTATATAACTATGTAACTATGTAACTATATAACTATGTAACTATATATCTATGTAACTATGTAACTATATAACTATGTAACTATATAACTATGTAACTATGTAACTATATAACTATGTAACGATGTAACTATATAAATACCTATATAACTATATAAGATTTCAGCCATCAAAACTCCCAAGGCTGCAGCAACAAATGACAAATGCATGTGTACACAGTCACGGAGAGCCCCCCCCCCCATGCCTGATTCTACTTAGAGGATGGCGGGTTTGGTCCCTGGATGTCGTTCCTATTGGTTAGCAGTGGAGTCTTGTGGGGGGGGGGGGGTGCGGGTGATTTTTATCATGCCATTGTGTGTGAATGAAGAATTTCCCGAGACATCCACAGATTAGCACCACCACCACGCCGGCCGGGCTGCCAGGGCTCAGCTGACTTTTATTAACATTAACCGCGGTGGAATGAGCGACATAAAAGCTCTGCAGTGTGAAAAACAAGCCGTCTTATGTCAGGCGGGGAAGGCGGCCTGCGATGTTCTGAAATATCTAACAGGCCAGCCAGGAAACTAGCATTTTCAGAAGGAGAAATCATCATTGACACCTGGCCTCAGAACCGGAATTTTACTTCCCCGGGGGGCTGCCATTGCTGATCACCTTCTGGAAATGCTAACTGCCTGACTGCTATTCTGGCCCTTCTGGGTCTTTCACCATCAACAAGTACACAGATCAAGGAAAACAATACAACAACCTTCAGGCGTTTCAGTGATTGGATGTATACAAGCCGACCTCCAACCAAATTACCAAGATGAATAGAAAACATTAAAAGATAAAATAACAAAACCAGCTTTTGTAGCAATTTTCACCTTCAGTCCAAAGATTTCCCCTGCAGTACTTTTTTCTGCCACTAGATGTCCTCAGTCAGATAACTAGCATCATTCAACCCTTTTCCTCTGAGCCCGGGTCGTCTTGGGTCTGCCCTCAGCCTGTGACTGGACAGTGTAAGAAGCAGCACCGTGATGAGCTCATCTTTCTGTAACCCTGCTCTCTCCTCCTATCAGCATGCTTTCGCGGGGGAGGTGCCCTATGGGATCATTGCATGTATTGGATTGTCAGGGATGCTCAGGGGGAGGTGCCCTATGGGAACATTGCATGTATTGGATTATCAGTGGTCCGCAGAGGAGGTATCCTACGGGATCATTGTATGTATTGGATTATCAGTGGTCCGCAGGGGAGGTGCTTTATGGGATCATCGCACTCTGGCGATGTATTGGATTATAAGTGGTCCGCAGGGGAGGTATCCTATAGCATCATTGTATGTATTGGATTATCAGTGGTCCTCAGGGGCGGTATCCTATGGGATCATTGCATGTATTGGATTATCAGGGATGCACAGGGGAGGTGCCCTATGGGCTCATTGCATGTATTGGATTATCAGAGATGTTCAGGGGGGGTACCCTATGGGCTCATTGCATGTATTGGATTATCAGGGATGCACAGGGGGAGGTGCCCTATGGGATCATTGCATGTATTGGATTATCAGGGATGCTCAGGGGGAGGTGCCCTATGGGCTCATTACATGTATTGGATTATCAGGGGTGCACAGGGGAGGTGCCCTATGGGATCATTGTATGTATTGGATTATCAGGGGTGCTCAGGGGAGGTGCCCTATGGGATCATTGTATGTATTGGATTATCAGGGGTGCTCAGGGGAGGTGCCCTATGGGCTCATTACATGTATTGGATTATCAGGGTTGCTCGGGGGGGGGGTGCACTATGGGATCATTGCATGTATTGGATTATCAGGGATGCTCAGGGGGAGGTGCCCTATGGGATCATTGCATGTATTGGATTATCAGGGATGCTCAGGGGGAGGTGCCCTATGGGATCATTGT